GTGCCAGCCACATACACCTGAGCTGGTGGGTTCAAATCCAGCCTAGGTCCACAAAACAATTCTGGCTGCAACCAAAAAAAAAAAAAAATAGCCAGACATTGTGGCAGGCACCTGTAGTCCCAGCTACTTGGGAGGCAGAGACAGGAGAATCGCTTGAGCCCAGGAGTTGGAGGTTCTATGAGCTGTGATGCCACAGCACTCTACCCAGGGTGACAACTTGAGGCTCTGTCTCAAAAAATTAATAAATAAAATAAATCGTTAAAAAAAGAAGAAAAAAAAAGTGAGCAAGAGGCAAGCAGAATCCAGGAGAGTCACCACAGAGGACAAGAGCACAAAAGCATTTCCAAGGGTGAACATGACTAGTTGTGCTGAAAACTAGAGAAATCCTGAGAGCAGAATGACCATTGGGTTTGATGACATGGATATGGCTAATGATCTTGATAAAAGGACTTTTTAGTGCAGAAGTGGAGATGCTAGAGTGAAGCAGAAAGAGCAGGTGGGGGAAGACAGAGGGAAAGGGAATCTAGGCAATTTTGGGGGGTAATTTTTTTTTTTTTCTCTACACAGAAAGTAGAGAAAGGGAGGCATGCAGACAGAAGAGTCATCATTTAAGAGAACTGCATGGGCAGGATGGAGAGAGACAGAGAGGTTCAGGAGGTGAAGACAAGGTCAGGGGGCAGGAAAGAGGTGATGGCTCAAGACAGGCACTGGCAGGTCCAGGGTTGCCCTGCCCGGCTCCTGTTCCTCACTGCTGCCAGCACCAGGCATGCTCTGGAGTTCTTCCTTAACATCTGTCTAGTCCTGGGAAGACCCAGTGAGGCAGAAGGAAAGAACAGGTTTTCTTCATTCATTTTCAGCAATGAACATTAATTCAGTCCTCAGAAATGTTTCCTGAAGACTTTGTGGTGTCAGGCCCTGTAAGCCTCTGCCTTGTCTCTATCCATGGAGGGGAGACAGAACAGAGCGAGGTGTGCTCTGGGCAGGCAGGCACCAAGGAAACACAGCAGGTGCTGCACCTAGCTCGGGAGGGGGTGTCTATGTGTCATCACTTCATGCCATCTGGTCATTCCTCTGCTCATTCATTCATCCCAGTCACCTGATTCACATTTTCTAAGACTGCCTGTGCACTTGGCCTTGTGCTGTGTAGTGCTGAGAATGCCAAGTCAAATTCTCCCTGCACCTGGCCCTTGCCCCAGTCTGGTGGAAGAGCAGGACATGGACACAATCACATCCCAGGCAAACATGTACTCTGACAGAAAGTCCAGGGCAGGGGTGGACAGACAAGCTCCAGAGCCCTGCTCAGGTCAGGCACCAGGCCTTCCTAGAGCAACCAAGCATGGAGTTAGAGAAAAGTGGGTTCCCACCTGGGCCATGCCCAGAGGGCTTAGGGATGGGGGTGAGGGGTTGAAGATCAGGCCCTGCTGCCATGGCACATGGCTGTCCCCTGTCCCTTCTCCTGGGGGAGCTGAAACTGCATGGAAGGTCCCCTGGGGGTGCCCCATCTAATAAACTCCGATGAAGAGGACTGCTGCTCTGGTTCCCGTTCCACTGACAGCCAGTTACCTGGGGCCTGCCCTTCCTATCTTCTGGGGGGGCTGAGGACCCCAACATAGGACCAGGTCCTTCTATCCCTCAAGACCTAGGATTCTGTCCCTGGGCTCCTCCCCAGAGGCCCAGGAGTCCTCTCTGGTCCTTCCTCCCTCAGACCAAGGACTGGGTCCCCAACCCCCTTCTCCCTCAGACCCAAGGACTCAATCCTCAATTCCCCCCTCTATCAGACTCAGGGGCCCAGTCCCCCAGCCCCTACTCCTTCAGACCCAGAGCCCCAGGCTCTCAGACCCAGGAGCCCAGTTCCCCAGCCCATCCACCCCCAGACCCAGGAATTGGGTCTCTAGCCCTTCATCCTTCAATCCCAGGGGTCTGGGCCCCTGCCACCTCTTCTCCTAGACCAGGGACCCAGGCCCCCAGCCCCTTCTCCTGGGAACCCAGCAGTTCAGGTTGGCTGACCTGGGCATCTCTGACCCTGCCCTTGTCCCTTACAGGAATCAGTCTCATCAGGCTTTTCAGGACCCGGCCCCAGCCCCTCCTCCTCGGGCCGCCTCCTTCCTACCCTCTCTGTCCCCTTAAAATACCCGGGATCCCTATGGCAACAGGCACCAGGCGACAGGTGCGGGTGTTATTTACGGGTCGCGCCCGAAATAGCCCAGGCGGTGAACTGGGTGGGTGGATGGGGGCGAGGCCAGGAGGGCGCGGAGGGGCCAGCCCGGTAGCCCAGCAGGCGCTGTCGGCGGGAGGCGGACGGTTCGGAGGCGGCGTGGAGCTGGGGGCTACGCAGCGCGGAGGCAGGACAGCGAGAGGGGACCCTGGCCAGGACACCGGGGTGGGAGGTCTGAGGGGAGAGCCTGGCCCCGAGCTGAGCCTGGAGCCATCGGGGCCCGGCAGGCCCTGGGAGCCTGGGGAAGGTGGTCAGAGAGATTACGAAGGGAATCAAAGCCCCTTTTTGGTCCCAGTTGTCTTTTGAATCCTGGGGGTACATTGTGCCCCTTGGTCTGAGCCCCAGTGGGGGCCCTAGGCCCTCTTCTGAGCCCCAGGGGAGACAGCCTTCTTTTCTGGACTGCACTGTGTTTCCCAGCCTCAGTAGAGACCTCCTCTGATCTCTTGTATAAATGGCCAGGGAGACCCCCCAACCCCTTTTCCTGAATTCTAGCCAGGACTCTGCCAGTGCTCTTCTGTGAAGGCTGGGGTCCCACTGCCTCTGGGAACCCCAGAGGGAATTTCCCTCTTGAGCCCCCCTGGGGGGACCTTCTGTTTCCTTTTCTGAATCCCAAGTCCCCTGTCCTCAAACTCTGAGCCTAAAGGAACCCAACCTACCTCTCCTTTCAAACTGAAGTTCTCTTCCTGGGCACCCCAAACTCTGAGCCCTAGAGGGGTGCTCCAATCCCTTCCCTCAGGAAAACCAGTTTCCATTTTTATTTTTATATTTCCAGGGACCCCAGCAACGCCCCAGAATTTCAGCTGGGCACTCATTCTTCCTCCTGGGAACACAGGTTCTCTGGACCTCAGGGGGACCTTGCTTTTTCTCAAGGCCCCATTTTCTTTGCTGAATTCTTGAGGGCACCTCAGTCCCTCTGAACCTCAGGCGTCCCCAGTTCAGGGATCCAGTTTTTTCTTTTCTAAATCCCAGAGGCGACCTTGTCTTTCCCAACTGAGGTTCCAGGGTGGACCCGGTCAGATCTTGCTCTTTAATAGTCCTCGGGGATTCAGCCCCTCCAGCCCACCAGGACTCCTGCTCTGCCCTGCCTCCTCTGAGTCGTTCTAGCCCAGCTGGCAGGCCAGGAGGATGATGATGTGGTCCAACTTCTTCATGCAAGAAGAGAGTCGGCGGCGGGGGGCCGCGGGCCGGCGGCGGGCTCACGAGCAGCAGGGGTTGGAGCTGACGCCGGAGCACGAGGGGAAGGTCAAGCTGGCGCTGCTGCTGGCCACCGTGGGCGCCACGCTGGCGGTGCTGTCCGTGGGCACCGAGTTCTGGGTGGAGCTCAACACCTACAAGGCCAACGGCAGCGCCGTCTGCGACGCCGCCCACCTGGGGCTGTGGAAGGTGTGCACCAAACGACTGTGGCAGGCTGACGTGCCCGCGGGCAGGGAGACCTGTGGCCCCGCGGAGCTGCCCGGAGGTGAGAGGCCGCCGCCCTGGGCCAAGGCTTGTGTCCCGCAGGCAGACAGGGTGTGAGGAAGGGGCCTGTGTCTCAGAAAACCGCACCCCAGAAACTGCCCATGCTCCCAGAGAAAGAGACCTGGCATCCCCAGAAAGCGCCCACATCAGCCTCGGGTCCCATAAACTGGGGAGGGAGAGAGAGGTTGAGCCTCAGACCCAGCTGAGCTCCAACTGCCTTACCTCCAGAGAACTTGTGCCCCAGCCAGCCTGTACCCCCAGCTACGGCCTGTGACCCCAGCAAACCTGTGCCTCCATGTCCTTTGTGCCTTAGAACTTGCAATCAGCTAAGGCCTCTCCCCTGGGTATGGCTGTAGCCCTAGACTAGCATAAACTACCAAATCATCCTGCACCCCCATCCTGCATCCTGTGACCTTAGACCAGGCTGTATCCCTCCATCATTTTGTGCTGCCAAAGAAAGCCTGGGCCCCAAGACCATCCTGTGCCCCCCAACTATCCTGCACCCCCAGACCAGCCTGTGTCTTAGTTATAGCCTCTGCCCCCAGACTAACTTGTACCCTCAGACCGGTCTATGCTCCTAGATCATTCCATGACCCCCAAAGCCCCTTCCCAAGCATTACTGGGTCCTCCTAAACCAGCCAGTAGCTCCAGAGAGCTAATGTCCCTAGATAAACCTTGCTGTGTCCCTACACCCAATTTGCTATTCCAATGCAGCTGGTACTTTCAGACAGCATGTGCCCACACCAGATGGCCTGCATCCCCCAGAAACTTCTGCACCCCCTGAGGCAGCCTGTGCCCCAGGGAGACAGTCTAGGCTCCTGTAGCCAGCTTGTACTTCCACCCTGGAAACAGTCTGCACTCCCACCCTGTGAGCCCTGGGGACATAGACCAGCTTAAGGCTCACACCTAAGTAGAATCTCTGCCTGTTCCCATCTACTGATTCCACCAAATGACACACTCTCCAGAGACTTCCCAGAATCCCAGAGTAGACCTTAGGCTTCCTGGAAATGCTCTTCTTCATTTCCTATCCCTCTCGCCTCTAAATGTTCAGGCTGGACATCCCAACCCTTCTCATTTTCTTTTATGGACACCCCCATGGCCCTCACATTCTTGTACCCTTGGCTTTGCTGAGAGATATCCCATAGTCCAATAGGACACACCATACCTTGTACTTTCACCAGTGGAACATTCTATACTCCTTGGGAACTGGATGACATCTCATTCTATCTCTACTGACTGAAGGAAAATACCGGACACCCCTCAGAGCCTATCTAGGCTGTTGTATATTTGATCACCCGTATGAGATGTCTATCATTCTTTTCTCTCCAAAGAATGTCTTACAATCTTCAGTACCCCTCAGAGAATATTTCCTGTCTTTCTGGGATCCAGATAGTGTTTCCCTCATCCTTCACTTCTCCAGATATGATGTCTTGCATCATAGGGCCCCAGATAGCATGTTCCAGGTCCCTGGTAACACCAAAGGGTGCCAGGCACCCCTTGCTGCCTGAGCTACCCACACAATGTCCAGCTGGGCTCTCTGAAAGACTTCACTGCTACAGATGAGCTAGCTTTTGCCCCTTGGGATCCCAACTTTTGTAGAACAGATGATCTGATAATAAAAATATTAGATGCCTATGTAGTGCTTGGTTCTATTCTAAATGCTTTAACTAATTAACCATCATAACAACCCCATGAATAGTTATTATGAATCACCCTCAATCCCTTGGTCTATGTATCCATGCTGCTTGTATGGAATTTGAGCCCTGATTATCTTTGTTCTTAACAGCTACATTACATCACATCTCACTAGTCCCTAAAGAGGACCCAAAGTTTCTTGCTGCACTGGAGGGAAATTTCCATCCCACCTCGCTGCATAATGTGGAGTACTTCACATCTCTTGCTTTCCTGTCTATTGGTCAGAAAGGACTTCAGTCTCCTCACAGGGCTATTACTGTCACCCCACAATCCCAGCCTCTCTGAGGACATCTCACAATCTTCATTATCTCAGAGAGACAGCCCACACTTCCCACTGCCCATCAGAAGACATTCCCTCTCTCCCTTGGCTTCAAGAGGGCCGACCCATACTCTATCCTTCTCTAGATGGGATATGCCATATCTTTGGGGGTCAAGAGACAGGATGTCCGAAATCATTAGTAGCCAAAATGGGATGCCAGACACCCCATCCTGTCCCAGAAGGGACTTCACACTTCTTTCATGGAAGAAGACCATGTTTCCCAAACTGACTGCTGCAAAAAACCTCCTCACCCTTCCCTTTGTGACACTGAACATCCCTCGCTTCTTGCTGGTGCAGGGTAAGAATTTACACCTCTCGCTACTGACCAGACATCTTACTCCCTCAAGGTACCGGGTGGAGTGTTTCACACCACCTCACCTGGATCAGGGATTTATCTCTTGTCCCTGCACATCCTCTTTCAATTTGGACAGTTTCTTCTCCACTTCTCTGGACTGCCCAGCCCCTCTCCTATTTTTCTTTACCCCTTTTGTTCTCGACCTCTTTTTCCCCTTTCCGTGCCTCAGTTTTCTCATCTGTAGGATAAGACAGTAGGTTGAGCGAGGTGAGTTCTGAGGGAAGTTCTAGCTCTAAAATGCAGTTGAGAAAGTATCTTAATAAAGTTAAGGTTTCTTGGACCTTACAAACATAAAGTTGGGTGAATCGCACTCCTCAGTTTTGTTACAAAATCATTATCAACCTTTGCAAAATCTTCCTTGTACTTCATTTTACATTTTTTAAATTCTTTCCTAACTCATCTCTTTAATATATTTGATGTATAGTCATGGATATGTGTTGTGACTTGGAAAATATATGGTCTTATGTATGTATGTGTTTTATTTACATGAGATCATGCTACAGATTTTGTCCTTTTTTGGAATTTTTTTCCCTCATACCACTTTGTTTGTTTTTGAATTTTTTTTTTTTTTTTTGAGACAGAGTCTCACTCTGTAGCCCTGGGTAGAGTGCCACACTGGTGTCATAGCTCACAGCAACCTCAAACTCTTTGGTTCAAGTGATCCTCCTGCCTCAGCCTCCCAAGTAGCTGGGAGCCCCCCTCTATGCCTGGCTAGTTTTTCTATTTTTAGTAGAGACAGGATCTCACTCTTGCTCAGGCAGGACTTGAATTCTTGAGCTCAAGCAGTCACCCACATGGGCCTCCCAGAGTGCTAGGATTACAGGAGTGAGCCACTGTGCCTAGCCTTAATTTTTTTTTTTATTTTTGATCAACATTGTGTCTCTCAAATCTCTCCATCTCATTTCACGTTCTCCTAGCTCATGGCTATTCTACTGGGAGCACCATCACATTTACTTATCTGTTCTCCTGGAGATGGACACCTAAGTTGTTTTTGACTCCACATGAATTATAAATAATGCTTCAGTGAACATCTGCATATATGTTCTCATATATTTTTCTTTTCAGATATATACCCAGGAGTGAGTTTTTTTTTTTTTTTTTTTTTTTTTTTTTTGCAGTTTTTGGCCCGGGCTGGGTTTGAACCCGCCACCTCTGGTATATGGGGCTGGCGCCTTACTCCCTGAGTCACAGGCACCACCCCAGGAGTGAGATTCTTGAGTTGTAGGGTCATTTCATAAAATACCTCAAAGTGGCTTCCAAAAAGACTAATATCAGTTCACACTGCCAGCTCTTTCCTCTTATCCTTCCAAACCCTCAATATTACCCTTTTAAAATTTTCTAGCCTAATTTATCAAAAGTGGTGGCTCCCTGCTGATTTCAGTTGCATTTCTGTGATTCCTGGTGAAGTAAAGCATCTCTTCATGTACTTGGGGATTACCCTGCTGCATAACTATTTACATCCTTTCCCCATTTACCCCTCTCTTCTTGCTGATCTGTAGGTACTCTGTGTGTTTGAGAAAGAAGTCCATTTTGAGATGGAATCTTTCCTGAGTCTCTTAGCTTTCTATTACCTGTATGTTTGTGTACTTTGTTGGATAAAGTGATTATCATTTCTTTTTTTTTACTTTTTGTGAGACAGAGTCTCACTCTGTTGCACCAGGTAGAGTGCTGTGGCATTAGAGTTCACAGCAACCTCAAACTCTTGGGCTCAAGAGATCCTCTTGTGTCACCTTTTGGTCTCACTCTTTTTTTTTTTTTTTTGAGATAGAGCCTCAAGCTGTTGCCCTGGGTAGAGTGCTGTGGTACCACAGCTCACAGCAACCTCCAACTCATAGTCTTAAGCAATTCTCTTGCCTCAGCCTCCCAAGTAGCTGGGACTACAGGTGCCCACCACAACACCTGGCTATTTTTTGGTTGTAATTGTCATTGTTTCGCAGGCCCAGACTGGATTCCAACCGGCCAGCTCTGGGGTATGCGGCTGGCACCTTAGCCACTTGAGCTACAGGCGTCCAGCCAGGGTCTCGCTCTTGTTCAGGGTGGTTTCAAACTCCTGAGCTCAGGCAATCCACCTGCCTCAGCCTCCCAGAGTGCTGGGACTACAGGCATGAGCCACTGTGCCCGGCCTGTGATTATCATTTCTAATCTCATTTTACCCTCAACAATCCCTTGTGAAGGGCCCAGGAAAGAGATCATCTCATTTTAAAGAGGAAGGCCTAGAATCAGAGGCCCAGAGAGGTTTAGGACCCATGCAAGGCCACAGATCTGGACCTCACAGCTCCTGGGTGGAATCCCAGCTCCTGACTGGGGTGTGGCACAGGTGGCTTTTATATCTCTGAGCATCAGTTTTCTCCTCTATGTATTGGGGGTGCTAATACCCTAGTTTTAGGCTTTTGTAAGCCATGTTAAGTGTCTAGCCCTGAGCTGGCACCAGGGATTTCGTATCATCACCTCCTCTGTTCTCTCTTTTGCTTCCACAGAAGCAAACTGCAGCTATTTTAAATTCTTCACCACAGGAGAGAATGCACATATCTTCCAGAGAACCACAAAGAAAGGTGAGAACTTTTCACTCTGTGCTAGGTGAGGGGTGGAGGATATACTGACCATGTTGGAGGAGTTTGTTTATTTATTTATTTATTTATTTATTTTTGAGACAGAGTCTCAATCTGCATCCCTGCATCCCTCAATCTGCATAGTACTCTATGCCGGCATCATCATCATGGCTCACAGCAACCTCAAACTCTTGGGCTTAAGAGATCCTCCTGCCTCAGTCTCCCAAGTAGCTGGGATTTTAACTGCCTGCCACCATGCCCAGTTAATATTTCTAGTTTTAGTAGAGATGGGGTCTCACTCTTGCTCAGGCTGGTCTCAAACTCCTGAGCTCAAGTAATTCACCCACCTTGGCCTCTTAGAGCGTTGGGATTACAGGCATGAGCCACTATGGCTGGTGGAGGAGTGACTTCTTGACAGCACTGTCCCTTTCTCTGCCTTATCCTGGGATGGGCTTGGCTTCTTTAATCTGCAGATGTCCCATCTCTGGGGAGTGATGGCAGGAGAGTCAATGATGGGGACATTATTCTCCAAAGCCCTGTGCTTACACTCTTACCCCTAGTTCTGCCTATGCCACATGCTGTGGAACTTTGGGCAAGTCCCAGCCCCTCTCTGTGGGCAGCGTGTTTGACACATCACAAATGTGCATGTACCACATGGAAAGCACAGCACTCGGGGCTCACTGATATGCTCACCAGTCTTTTCTATAACCCTCCAGATGAGAAAACGGAAGTCCAGAAATGGTTACAATTATTTTTCCCCAAGAAGTGGCAGAGACTGGAGCAGGATTCAAATTCAAACAGTTCTGACTCTAAAGCAGCACTCTCTTGCAGACTCTTCTGTAAAAACAGAAATGTTCTGTGTCTGAACCATATGGGAGCCACTGGACACACTTGGCTACCCAACACTTGGAATGTGGCTGGTGTGTTGAAGGAACTGAGTTTTAAATTTGGTTTAATTTAAGAGTCAATTTAGAATTAAGTGGCCACATGGGGCTAGTGCTTACTGTAATGAACAATGCAGCTCTGAAGACCTTGCCCTTTCAGCTCGAACCCCTGACTCCCCATCACCGCTCTGGCTCAGTGTCTCCACCAGGAAGGGAATTGGACTTATGTCCTGAATCTTATCTGGCCTTTGTAGAGATTTAATGAGATGATGCACCTAAAATACTTGATATGGAGCCTAGCACATAGTGGGTCCTCAATAAATGGTGGTGGTTCTTTACCTTCTCCTCTTCCTCTTGCTCTTACACTGTGTGAGGTTGGGCAAGCTGCTCTGTGCCTCTGAGGTAGTGAAACTCAGGGAAAACCCACGCCCTGGGCACTCACTTTACCTATGTGACCTCTAATTCTTATGACAGCCCACCCAGGTAGAGATTTTGTTCCTGATTTTCTAGAAGAGGAAACTGAGGCAGAGAGGAGTTCAGAGTCTTTACCAGAGTCTTCTACCTAGGAAGTGGCTGGGGAGGATTCCAACTTGGATCATTCCACTTAATACACCTCCTTCACCATTGTCTCCTTCGTACCCCACTGCCTCAGTTTCCTCCCTATAAGGAGGTGACCAGATCATAAGTTAATGATTGGTAATTCCCACCTCTTTATAATCCTGGTTCTGTCTCCTTTTTGCTCTGTGGCCTTAGGCAAATAACTGACCCTCTCTGAGTCTTACTTCTTTAAACAGTGTAAACAGAATGTTGGGCTGGATGATCTTCTGCTTGAAGATTCCTCTCTGGTCCTGAATCTTACATCTCTCTGGTTCTGAGTCCCTATTGATGAGTCCTCCCCACTCCCTACATTCTATGTTCTCTGCTTCTTCCCTCTCTCCTCCTTACAGAAGTGAATCTGGCAGCTGCCGTGATAGCAGTGCTTGGCCTGGCAGTCATGGCCTTGGGATGCCTCTGTATCATCATGGTGCTCAGCAAAGGTGCAGATTTCCTGCTCCGAGTTGGGGCTGTCTGCTTTGGCCTCTCAGGTGAGGATTGAGAGCCTAGAAGCTGAGGACATCCTAGGCTGAGAAGATCTCCAATCACTGTTGCACGCTGGGAGATAGGATCTCTATGTATCATTGCAAGTTGGGTGTAGGGACTCCAAGTACTGTTGCATGCTGGGACATGGGATCTCTAGGCATCATTGCAAGTTGGGAGTGGGATCTCCAAGCACTGTTTCATGCTGGGAGTTGAAGGGGATAGTTCAAGGGTCTATAGGAGGCTCAAAGATGGAGAAATTCCAAGTCTTGATATTGGCTGAGGATTGGAGAGTCTCCAAATACTTCTTTAGATTTGGGCCTGGGGTCTCCAAGGATTGCTGCATGCTAGGATTTGGGGTCTCCAAGCACTGTTGAGTACTAGGAGCCAGAGAAAACTCAAGGACTACAGAAGGCTCAAAAATGGGAACATTCTCAGTCATGTTGTTAGCTGGGAATTGGAGGCTCTCCAGACCCTGTTTTAGAATTGGACCTGGAATCTCCAAACATCACAGCATACTGGGGAGGTTTCTGAACATTATTTCATGCTATGAGGACAGGGAAGCCCATAGGCTATAGTAGGTTCAAATATGGGAGAGTTTCAGGCCCCTGTTTTTTTTTTTCTTTTGGCTCAGAATTAGATGGTCTCCAAATACTCTTTTACATTTGATAGCTGAGGTCTGCAAAGACTTCTGTATTCTTGGAGTTGAAGGTTCAAATAAAATGCTATGTCTTGTGAGATGTAGTCCTCACTAATAAAAACTTCAGTTTATTGTACAGCTAGTTCAAATCCTTACAACAGTGCTACTAGGTAAGGATTGCTATTTTCCCTTTCATAGATAAGAAAATTGAGGCTCAAAGAAGTCAGATGAAATCCTCATGTTAGGGTGGCGCCCGTAGCTCAGTGGGTAGGGTGCTGCCACTGAGGCTGGTGGGTTCGAACCCGGCCTGGGCCAGCTAAAACAACAATGACAGCTGCAACAACAACAACAAAATAGCTGGGCGTTGTAGCCTGTGCCTGTAGTCCCAGCTGCTTAGGGGGCTGAGGCAAGAGAATTGCTTATGCCCAAGAGTTTGAGGTTGCTGTGAGCTGTGACACCACAGCACTCTACCCAGGGTGACAGCTTGAGATTCTGTCTCAGAAGAAAAATAAAGGAAAAAAAAGAAATCCTCATGGTAACACAATCAGTGATAGAAGATGTGGGACTTAAAACTAGGTCTTCTTATGTCAAAGTATGTCTTATCACCTCACCTCATTATTGCATCTTGGAAACTATGTTTTTGCAGGATCTTTGTAAGCTCAGAATGGTGTTATGGAATGAATGCTCAACTGGGAGGCATGTGGTCTAAATTCTAGCCTAGGTTGTGCCCTGTATCATCATCTTAGGAAGGTACCTTTCCTTTTCTGGGCTTTGTTTCCTTATTGGGTTAAATGTTTTCTAAGGTGGATAGAAACATCATTAATTATAGAAACTTCATTTCTTTATTCTTTATGTATTATGAGAACCTACTATGTTCTAAGAGCTAGAGATACAAGATCCAATAGGAGAGAAACCGTGTCTGTTCTCATAGAGCCAGACATAGTCTGTAACCAATAATTATGCAAATAACAGTTCAGTTATAATTGTGGTAAGAGTTATGATAAAAGTATATTAAGGGTTCACACTGTGCTGGGAGTGTGTATCAGAGAAGCTCCTCAATAAAGTGTCATTTGCTCTGTTAATTGAAGGATAAATAGGAATTATTCAAAGTACAATGGTGACCATTGTGGTGGCAACAGGTGATGTTGATGTTGCCATTGGTGGTGATGTTGACGGTGATGGTGGTGATGGTGGTGATGGTGGTGATGAAATAGCATGTGCAAAGACTGAAAGACTTCACAACTTTGAGGAACAGAATAAAGATTAGAGCTGATGCAAAGCAAGCTTGCCGAAGTGTACATGGTGGCTTTGTTTAATGAGTGAGGTAGAGGCCTGACCCAAGATGAAGCAAGAGAGACGTGCTAGGCATTTTAAAAGCATACCTGAGTGGAAAATTACAATGACAACATTATTGTTGCTTTAGAGACCTCCCTGGATAAAGGGGGGAAAAATCCAGTCATCCCCTTTCATTTTATTCATTTATTCATTTGTTTATTTAATTCATTGGAACACACACAGATCTCCAGAGTGCCCCCTGGATATCCATGTGGGTTTGGTTCCAGGGCTCTCCAGAGATGCCAAAATCCATGGGTGCTCAAGTCCCTTATCTAAAATGGTGTAGGATTGGCATAGAACCCCTGTACATCTTCCTGTGTATCATAAGTCGTCTCTAGATTACTTGTAATATCCAGTACAATGTAAATGCTATGTAAATAGTTGATACAACATATTTAGAAAATAAGAAACAATGTCTGTACGTGTTCAGCACAGATGCAACCATCCTTTTTTTCCCCCAGTATTTTTGATCCATGGTTGGTTGAATGCTTGGATATGTAACCCTCAGGTACAGAAGACTGATTGTGTATATACATGTATATGTAATATTAGGAGAGTACACAGGACAGAAAGCTGCCTCGTAGAGATTATCACCTGATTGAGGATGTGGAAATAACACAATTACAAACTGGAGGAAGTGCTCTGAAGGAGAAGCAGTGTGCTGTGAGGGTGCACAACGAGAGCACTTGATTTACTGCAGGGAGTGAGAGGGGCCCACTCTGAGAAGGTGATGTAGAAAATGTCAAAGTCCAGGTAACCAAGCTGGAAAGAGTTCTTTGGAGGGTGACAGGGATGCTGGTGCAAAAGATAGTCCCGTGAAATCAATAGGGAATCAAAAAGATCTGGTTGGAGTCCCAAATTCTTAGAAGTTGCATAATATAAAAATACATTTTTAGATTCCTGGGCTGAAATCTACGAGGCATGAACCCATGCATCTAAGTACCAGGTGTTTGCCCATTCACTTATCCTTCCATTCTTTCTTACGGCAGTTTCTCCCTCTTTTTCCCTCCCTTCCTTCCATCTGTTTTTCTTCCTTCTTCCCTCTCTCCAACCATCTATTTATCCATCTGTTCACACATCCATTCATTTCACAAGTATTCTTTTTTTCTTTTTTGGTGGTGGTGGGGGACAGTGTCTTACTCTGTTGCTGTGGATATAGTGCTGTGCCATCCTAGCTCACAGTAACTTCAAACTTTTAGGCTTAAGGGATTCTCTTGCCTGAGCCACCCAAGTAGCTGGGAGTACAGACACCCACCACAACGCCCGGCTATTTTGTTGTTTTTGTTTCGCAGTTGTCGTTGTTTCGCAGGCCTGGGCCGGGTTCGAACATGCCAGTCTCAGTGTATGTAGCTGGCGCCCTAGACACTGAGCTACAGGTGCCGAGTCAACAGCCTCAAACTCCTGGGCTCAAGCAATCCTCTTGCCTTAGAATTCTGAGTAGCTAGGATTAGGCACCCACCACCACATCCAGTTAGTTTTATTTTATTTTATTTTTAGTAGAGACAGGGTGTAGCACTTGCTTAGTCTCAAACTCCTGTCCTCCAGCAGTCCACCCCCATCAGCCTCCCAGAATGCTAGGATTATAGGCATGAGCCACTATGCCCAGCCACAAGTATTCTTTAATACCTAATAAATGCTAGATGCCATGCTAGGTACCCCTGGGGACAGAATGAGACAAAGGTAAAGATGACCCCTATTCTCATGGAGTTTACAGCTTGGTAGAAAGTTGGTGCTGACATTGTTATTTCAGTCACACCTGCATTACCCCCGGGTGTGCCCCGAAGTTGTTGATATAAAAGGGATTAAAGGAAGTCTTGGGCATGAACATATCTACAGATTGTACAACCAAATAAGAGGGATGATGGATCGGATTTCATAATTACTGCGGCTACGTTGGGTGTCAGAGATTGGAGTAGGTTGGGCTTTTGAAATCTCCCTAGATAAAAGAACATGTTCCGGTTATATCGTCTCCCTCCCTGTGATGTCTATGTCAGGTGTGCTTCTGTGTTTTAGAGCTATGATACAGACAAGTTTGTACCCCCCATGGATTTATAGTCCAGTGTGGGAAGACAGAAGTGAGAGAGAGACAATACTCATCTAAATCAATGTATATTAATAACTACCAACTGTGATGAATGATATAAAGAAAAAGTAAAGAGTGTTGCTGTACACAGGTTCTACACACACACAAACAAAAGATAAAGAGTATGAGGAAAATACATAACAGGTAGGCTCAAGGTGACGGTGGTCAGGTAAACCTTCTTTAAAAAATTTAAATTTAGGCTGGGCGCCTGTGGCTCAAGTGGCTAAGGCGCCAGCCATATACACCTAAGGTGGCGGGTTCGAATCCAGCCCAGGCCCGCCAAACAACAATGATGGCTGCAACCAAAAAATAGCCAGGCGTTGTGGTGGGTGCCTGTGGTCCCAGCTACTTGG